GTGCTCTAGGAATATGTGAGAAGGTGGAGAATGCTTTCCTCTGGAGTTGGGGATAAGAGCAAGTTGGGGGGATTGGTCACCCAGAGAAGAGAGCATCCAAACTACATTTTGAAGGGCAGTAAATATTCAGAAAGACAGAGTCAAGGAGGGAATGCAGCTCCTTAACAGAGCATGTATGGTTTGTGCAAGGGCAGAGGGAAAAGAGATAACATGTGGAATTCAGAGAACAGTTTGCTGTCCAGCTTGCCTAGAGCCTAGAGTGAATAAAGGTGGATGAGATGAAAAAAAAGGTTGGAAATGTGGATCAAAAACACAAGTAGAGGAGTGAGATTTGGTTAGTTTGCATTTTATCTAAGTGTCAGTAGGGAGTAGGGGAATGAAACTGTAGGAAATGCACCTTAGGAAGGTTATCGTGGCAACATCCATATGAAGAACGGACGGGAGAAGAGAGAGACTGGAGGTAGGGAGCTCATCATGAAGCCATTATAGTAGTCTTGGTGTGAGGTGATTAAGGTCAGAAATAGGGTAGGGACAGATTGAAAGATGTGGAGATCAAATTGATATTTTATTGGATGTTGTAGAGGGTGAGAGGGGAATTAAAGATTACTCTGAGGTAAAAAATCTGAAACACAGAGAGGATAGTGATACCTTCAATAGGAAAGGGGATGGTTAGAAAAGGGGCAGAATGAGTAAGGGAAATAATGAGTTTAGTTTTGTACTTGTTGAGTTAGCCATGCTGACAGGACACAAGATTATGCTTGGATAAAAGATTTCATAATCATCTTACAGAGATGTAATTGAACCTTTGGTTGTGGATAAGATCAGCAAAGGAAAAAAAATAGAAAAAAGAGGAGCTGAGGACAGAGCCTTGGGAAACAATAAGATAAGATGGAAAGAACCTTTTTTCTGTAATGAGAGGATCTGATACTTACTGGCTGTGTGACCTTGAACAAATCACTAACCTTCCTTGACCTCCATATTCTCATGTGTAAGATGAAAAGGTTGAACAATTCAGCTCCAGATCTAGGATTCATAATTATAGGTGTAGGAAGGGATGATAAATCATTGAAGAAGACAGAAAAGGTTAAGTCAGAGAGGGAGAGGAACTAAGGTAGAATATCATGATAGTCCTGAGAGGAGAGACTTTTCAGAAACAACGGGTATCCGAAAGTGCTGAAAGCAACCTAAAGATGAATAAAATGAAAGTATTTTTAAAAAATCTCTTATTAAGTGTTTACTATGTGCCAACACGGTGCTAAGTGCTAGGGATACAAAATGGAGACAGCATTTGCCTTCAAGGAGCCTACATTCTAGTAAAGGGAGATCATGCAAAAAAGGGGCAGGGTCCCTTGGTTGGGAAGTCCTGAGAGATTGGGAGTGGAGCCATAAGGGAGTTGTTTGACAGTTTTCCAGCAGCTATGGCTGTGTTGATTTGATTTGATTTGATTTGGATTCCAGATCTAGAGAATCTTGGGAGGGAAGAGGAGGTCATATTCACAGTGGCAGGGAGGCTGATAAGAGAATGGCAGAGGTGAAACATGATTATGATCAGGATTGACTTAGATATAGTTATGAACATTGAATTGGCTAATGTACTGAGAAGCCAAAGTAGTTTTAGGGCCATTGAAGTGAATAGTTGTCACTAAGCATATAAGCAGAGGTTAGAGTCAGTAAGTAAACTAACAGCTAGTTGTACAACATAACATTAATGAATAGAGCAAACTTCTATGGATGAAAGGTTAACTGCAATGTGACAGAGAGAGTCTAGAAGTGGCAGAGGAGTTAGGTCCATGTGTTGGGTCCATCAGAGAAGGAGTGACAATTACTAAAAGAGTGTCAATGAGTAAAGTATCTTCAGGAGAAAACCAGGTTCCAATGAGTTCCATAATACAAAAGGAGTATGAAAGGAAATGATTTAAGGTGATGAGGAATTTGTTCCAGAGGAAATGGAGGCCATGGAATATTTCAGATTGAGAAGGGAAAAGAATGAACTGAATTCAGGTGAAAATGAATGGAGAGGTAGCAACAGAGGTTCTCTCCCTTCTCTCTTCCTACTTCAGTGTATAGGGCTCTGAACAACAATAATAGCTGATGTTTATGTAGTGCATGAAGGTTTACAAGTTCTTTACATACATTGCTTCATTTGATCACATTTGAACTTATTTGAATCTGAGGGATTCAAAGAGTAGGAAGTTAACTATAGATCATGGAAGGACTGATGGTAATGTTGAGCAGGGAGGTCCTGTGGTGAAGATGGCCTTGGCTATTTTGTTTTTACAGTTCCCATATTCAAATATTGGCAGATGGGAGGGCTAACAGTCAAAGCCTAGGGCAAGCAGCATGACATGTGCCCTTAAATCAACTTTGTAATGCATGCTTTGAAAATAATACAGAAAATAATTAAGACAAATTTAGATGAACAGGAAGAGAAACTCTGGGACACTGTCTCCCAATCCATGGCAAGAGATCAGAGGACGCTATGAAGTCATAGTGAAAAACACCATCAGTGTGTGTGTGTGTGTGTGTGTGTGTGTGTGTGTGTGTGTGTGTGTGACTGATTAGGGAAGGTCTACACTGGGTAGGAGCTCACTTTGTGTATGACTGCCTGGGAGCAGTGTAGGAAGGAAGTATATGCCAGCCATCTGGAAGTTTAATGTTTTAAGTATTCTCAATAGCTAGGTTCTAAGTTCAGTTTCTTCTATACTTCTGAAGGAGTTCAATTGCTGTCAAAATAGAAATACCACAAAATTTTTTAAATGTTCAAGCTTTTAAAATGATTATTTAAAATCTTTGCCCTTTCTAAATTTTGATGTCCTTGGGAAAAGCCCTAGCTTCCCTGCCTTAGTTATAGCTTTGTCAGTAGTAATGGCAAAAGATATCTTAGAAAATCATTAGCTTTTTCTTCTTTTCAGCAGTGAATGCCCATTTATTAAAAACTTACTACATGCTAGTCATGTACTACCATACTAAGAAAGGTAAAACTACAGTCCCTGTTGTCAGGAAACTCATATTCTAATGGAAGAGTCATCGTGCAAGCAATTATTATATACATGATGTAAACAATGTAAGTGGAAAGCAATTTCAGAGGGAAAGTACTAGCAGGGTAGGGCAGGATGTGAGGGGTGAGGAAGGGAAAGTCTTATTGCAAAAAGTGGAATTTAATTTGTCTTGAAGGAGGCCAGATGTGAGAAGGGAGAGCGTTCTAGGCATGGAAGACAGCCAGTAAAAGGGAAATGTAGTATGACGTGTGAGAAACAATAGGAAGGAAGTCAGTGTAGCTGGACTGTAGAACACATGGAAGGAGTAAGAAAGGAAAGGGTCAAGTTGAGAAAGAAAGAAAGAAAAAATTCAAACAGAAAATTTTATATTTGATCCAAAATAACATGGAGCTATGGAATTTATTGGGTAGAGAGGTGACATGGTTAAACCTGTATTGTAGGAAGATCACTGGCACCTGAGTGGAGGATATACTGGAGTGGGGAGAGAACTGAGTTCAGTTCAGGTCCTCAATGTTTTCTTCCTCTTGAAATTACTTTCTATTACTTTGCATGTACTTTGTATTTACTCACATATCCATTATAGTCTTCCAGTAGATTATAAGCTCATTGAGGGCATAGACTATTGCATTAAAAAAAAATTCTATCTCTCTTGCCTAGCACAGCGCCTCATACATTGTAGGCGCTTAATAAATGACTTGAATGAACAAAAGGGAATGGAATTATATTTTTTTGTTTATGGGCTACTATGAGTCCTTTATGTATTTTATGTGAGGGGAAGTATCTGATATGCATAGCTACCTTGAGTGCTCACATAAGAATTGGAAGCCTTTTATTTATATCTGTGGAAACCTAAAAACAATCTATATTTGGATAATTTTTGGAAGTAACTATGATTGGAAGCAAAATGAGTCAAAGAGTGATTTGGGAGGGGGAACTTCTAATATTGAACCCAGCCTATGATAGCCTAGACCCTCAAGTTCTTGAGCCTCAGGTTACATTTTCAATTTGTGCCATCATAGCCACTGTGTGCATTATTTTCCTGGTCTTGCTTTCTTCACTTAATTTACATTTCTTCCTACATTTTTCTGAATTTCTCATGTCTTACGATACAATCATATTCCATTATATTTATACAGCAAAATATTTTCCCCATCAATAAGCAACCATTTCTTTTTCCTGCCTTGGTGGGTACCACAAAACTGCTGCTATGAATATTTTGGACCTTTCTGCTTTTGACCTTAATGGTACATGCAATTAGTAACATTGGCTTGGTCAAAGAGACCAAGGGACAATTTAGTGATTTTTCTTCTATAGTTCTAAATTGTTTTCTAGAACAGTTGAACCAATTCATAACTGCATCATCAGTTTGAGTTTCTTTCGAATAGTCCCTTCAACATTGACTATTTTTGTCTTATCACCTTTGTCAATTTGATTGGTGAGAGGTGAAACCTCAGGTTTTTTTTTACATTTCTCTTATTATCAGTGATTTGGAACATTTTTGATAAGGTTGTTTACAGCTTGCAATTCCTCTTTTGAAAGCTGTTCATATCCTTTGACCACTAATCTATTGGAAAGGTTTGGTTATCAGTCATACATTCTTCATAAAAGTTCTTAACATATTATTGCAAAATCTCCTTCCTTGGTCAAACTTGACCCAACTCTTTTACCAAGAGACCCAGTTAGGCAAAATGCTTCTATGACTAGTTCTGGCTGGGAAATTTCTGTGTTGGAAACAGCCACTGCCAACACTATCAGAATATCCATTTGAGTGAATTAAGGCACTAAAATTGCCTGGTACATGGTGAGTCAATAACAGCAAAGCCCCCCCTTCTTATGTGTATAGCAAAGCTGTAAACACCACCTGGAACTTTTGCCTCTGTGACTTTGTCCTGGTCTGAGCTGCTATGGTAATGAAACCTAAGCTCCCACACAGTTGGTTATTCATTTTGTGGACAAATGAGGCAGAAGACAATTAACATAGACTTTCCATTTCCACAACAGGCTGAGAACTCATTTCAGCCCCATCTTTTGGACAGATTTTGTGATAAAGAACTGCTCCCGGCTCTCCAGGGACTTGCCCACCAAAGCCCTACACAAAGAGAGACAAAGGTTGTCTTTACTTCAGCACTGGAAAGGAGACAACGTTTGATTTAATCCAGCAATATTTTATGACCTCAACATTGCTCAGGAGAAACTAAAGGTACTAGATAATAGTGGGCAGCCAGAAACACTTAGTCTCAAAATGATTTTGGTATTGGTTTTTATATTACTTATCGCTCAGAGGTCCGTTCTTCATGAAGATAAAAATTAGAACACTAAAACATTGGGGAATATTAGGGATGCAGTAAACAGACATAGTACCATAGATTCAGAGCTGGAAAGGATTTAAAAGGTCATCTAGTCAAATATTCTCATTTTCCAGATGTAAAAACTGAGGGGTGGAGAGGTCCAGAGACTTATCCAATATCTTGTGCAAAGTAATTGGTAGACCTAGTGTTTGAACCTAAGTCTTCTAATTCCAAATCCAGTGCCCTTTCAATTATACTCCACTGCCTCTTTGTTAATTGCCAGTATTTTTTCTTTTTTAGCATGTTAGCTTTGTAGGGTTTAATGCCATTTGCTTAGAGAATATAGGAGTATAAGTCATGGTCTGCTCTCAAGACCCAATAATACAGTTAGGAGAACAGGTTAACACATAAAACAACATTGTATAATATAAGCAGTGGTAAGAATACAGGATTTGAAATTCAAAGACTGGATTTTGGCTCTTCCACTTGCTACCTGTGTGACCTTGGACAAATTATTTAAATTCTGTAGATCTCAGATTTTTTCCCCCATTTTTAAAATGAGGGGGTTGGAATAACCCCCAAAGTCTACTCTAATTCTCCACTTATCATCTACAATCAGATCCCCAAATATAGATACATCCCTAGAGTCTGCCCTGGGCTTTCTTTTCTTCACTCTCTTCTGAATGACTTCATCAGCTTCTTTAGGTTACATAAAATCTCTATGCATATGACTCAGAGTTCTAACTAGACAGAACTATTAGGCTTTTCAAACTGGATGTCCCATAGAAATCTCACATTCAGCACGTACAAAATATGACCTGCGATCTTTTCCCCTGTTTGTGTTGAGGGCACCACAGTGCCAACAGGCATCCATACTCACAGCTTCCAAGCTGCCCTGAGATAGTCGGGTGGTACAGTGCATAGACTGCCAGGCCTGGAGTCGGGAAGACCAAAGGTCAAGCTTGGCCTCAGACATCTACTAGCAAGTCACTTAACTTCTGCTTGTCTCAATTTCCTCAACTATAAAAATGGGATAGCAATCATATTTACCTTCTAAGGGTTGTGGTAAAGATTTAATGAGATAACATTTATAAAACACTTAGCACAGTGCTTGGCACGTAGTAGATGCTATATAAATGCTTGTTATTATCATTATCATTATTGTTGTTATCCATGTTGTCTCCCCTGAATGTAAATTCCTGAAAAGCAGGAATTTTTAAATTTGTCTTGGTATTCCTACTACCTATCAGCTAGGAAGTGCTTTTAAAAATGCTAGTTGAGAGGCAGCTAGGTGGCGCAGTGGATAGAGTACCAACCCTGAAGTCAGGAGTACCTCAGTTCAAATCCAGCCTCAGACCAAACCCTGGACACTTACTAGCTGTGTGACCCTGGGCAAGTCACTTAACCCCAATTGCCTTAAAAAAATGCTAGTTGATTAATTGATTTAATTAATGACAATAACAATAATTGGCCTGTGTATAGCATTTAAAAGTTGTGTAACCCAGATTCAGACCTAAAGCATCGGCATGAATGCTTTATAGGTGGAAAGACCTATGACTCAATACTGTGTACTTGAGTGAGGGGTAAAGTGGATTCAAGAGTTTGGAAGGAGAGAAACTTTCTTATTCTTTCCTTTTATGAGAGAGAACACACATGGTTCTATACTCTCTTTGGAGGAGAGACTGGAGACAGAGAGAAAAGACAGAAATGCAAGGCAGAAATGTAAAAAAAAAAACGTTGACTACTCAACCTGTCCCTGATTTCCACTTTGCCTCCCTAGAATTTCCTCTTGGGTGATATCTCACTCTCAGCAGGGAATCTCTTTCACTGTGAATATTGTCTAGCATATTCTAATCTGTATAATTTCTCTGATTTCTCTTTGCTGTCTGTTTGGATAAATGGATGTTCTCGCCATTTACTATTTGTGATGGCCTTTGTATAAATAGCATTTAGTAGGAAGGGGTCAAACCTTTAGATATAACTTTGGAGTTAGAGCTGACCTTCCTTCTTAAGGGATAGTGACCAGAAAAGCTGCTTGAACCTAAGAAAAACAAAACAATAACTCCCCCAGATTGAAAGTATTAATATTTAGTGTGTGTTGGGGGGAAGGACAGATATAATTCTAGTCTGGTACCACTTCTCCCCTCTCCCATGAGAATAGAGCAGTCAGTCTGATTGCCTCTTCTGCTCTCCTTCAGATTGGAATCTGTCTCCCTTGGAGAGAGGTGGGTAAGATCTCTGGGATAGCTATCAAAGCCTTTCTATAAGCCTAATTTAGACAAAACCATGTGGACATGCCCATTACCTACATGGCCAACGCATAATGATATTTTCTTAACCATCAACTTGTTTTTCTGCCTAATGTGTAAACCCCCCAAATAATATTTTATTAACCACCAGTTTGTTTTTTTCCCTAATAAAACCTCCCCCATCTTTTTTTTTTTTTACTTTGACCCTTGATAGGCAAATCAGCCAGCTCCAGGAGGGCGACCCACAATGTGAGCATAAGAACCCCACTTTGCGAAGGGCACCTTGGAGCATTCCTTTCCTGCTTAATGGATTCATGTCTCTGTGCTCTCCAATGCAGTACTGCTCTTGTATGAATTATACTCTGTTAGTGTGTATGCCTGAATTGTATATCGTTTATATATTCTCTCCTCTTCCCACTCTTCCACATTGCTTATGATAAAACTTTGCATTGAACATATTCCCATTGTTTTATATGTTATTCTTAGCATCTAAACTCATTAAGGGGTTATTTTCCTTCATTCTCTGTCTGGCCCACATGCCTGTTCTTGTATATAACTGGGTACCAGGGCAAGGACTTAATCTGTTGGTATTTGCACGTACACTTGAGAATGACATTACTATAAGCCCAATAGTAGAAAGTAAGAACCAACAGAGGAACCCTATGTCCTCTCAGGAAGGGCTTTCTTATTCCAGAGAACTGTCATGAAACAATCCTATACTTGTGAAGTACTTTATAATATATTGTCTTATTTGAGCCTCACAAGAACTCTGTCAGGTAGGTATCACAGATATTAATCTCATTTTTTTTTTTAAAGAGGAAAATGAGGCTCTGAACTTTTAAATGGTTTTATTAAGGAGAACTATTTGCACTTGGTCTTCCTGAGAAAAGGAACATGGCTGGGGGTGGGGAAGGGAGAGTATTCATTAAGAGCTTAACATAGTGCCTTGTATATATTAGGTGTTTAACAAATGATTTTTGTGCATTCATTCCCAGAGTCCCACAGCTACTAAGTAGCAGAGACAGGATTCGAACCTAGGCCTTTTTGACTCCAACCTAACACTCTATCAGTGATGAGATGCCACCTGTCAGTAATAATAACATTGTGAAAGGTATCAGCTGTTGCAGTGCTATATGAGTTATGTTTATGCCATATAAGAGCAATGGAACAGCACAGAAAAGGTACATAGAGAAAATAATAAGAAGAAAATGAAGAAAAAGAAAGAAAATAACTAACATAGATATATAATTTTGAGTATTCCAATTTGACTTTGGAAAGTCCAAAGGGACCAACCTCATACTCAGGACAAAAGCAAAATTGATAAAATGAGGGTAAGAGATTGTATCTCACGCTTATTCAGGATGTGTTAAAAATCTTAGTGAATTTTTAAGCTATTAAAACTGTATTTACCTCTTTTAAAGACTAAAGACATTGATTGATAGTAAAACACTGCATAGAACACCTTTCAACAGTAACAATAATAGCAAAATGGTAATAGCTAGCATTTCTATAGTGCTTTAAGACCTGTAAAGTGCTTTACCAATATTATTTCAATTTGTCCTCAAAACAAACATGGGAGATAGCTGCTATTATTGTGTTCATTTTATAGGTAAGAAAACTGAGGCAGATAGAGATTAAGTGACTTGCCCAGTGCCCACAGCTAGTAGATAACTCAGGGATAATTTTAATTCAGGTCTTCTTGATTGAAAATTGAGTGCTATATTCATTGTACTACCTAGCTGTCTCTCCTACGAAGTATTACATTCAGCTGGTCCTCTTGTCAGGAAGGAAGTCATGACCAATAGTCACCTGTACCCTGAAAAGTAGGAATACGGTCAGCTATGATAAACGTTTTGGACATATTAATTCTCTTAAGTCTTAACACTGCTAAATAACTTCCTAACTGCTGCTGCTGCTGCTGGTGCTGGTGGTGCTGGTGGTATTGGTGGTGGTGCTGCTGGTGGTGTGTGTGTGTGTGTGTGTATGTGTGTGTGTGTGTGTGTGTGTGTGTGTGTGTGTGTGTGTGTGTGTGTGTGTGATGGCTTCTTTTGCCTGCTACTGAAAAGCAAGGGGATTTTCTTAAGCAGACCTTCCTGCTTATTATGGGTAAGAACCTTTCAGCAGGAACCCACCATCTTCAATTTTCTCCCCTTAAGTATAATCAAGAAAAGGGCCTGGGATCACTGCAACACAATTGAGTTGATCTTGGGTTGTACATTGAGCCAGGCTGATTTCTGCCTCAGGCCATTCCACCATGAGTTCCCCTGCCTCCAACTTCCCTAACATGTGCAGGATGAAGATGAGGTGATAGAGGGATATTATGAGAAGATGGCATGATATTCATAAGTCATAAGAGATAGAAGGGACCTTAGCTTTTCCAGCTAGACAACAGCTTGGTCCACTCCCCCACAGACAGTTTAGTGATATTAATAAAAACATCATGAGATCCAATTCCCCATGAAAACATTTGAAAAAAAGAACTACTGGGGTTAGCACTACTAAATATACAATTTCTAGCCAACACAAAATCTATGTACTGACCTCGTAAATGGGCAATCCAAGTACATAGACCTAGGCATATTAACAAACAGAATGTTACAAAATACCAAAGTAGTCAGTAGCCATCTGTCCCCATGGGTGTTACCTTTCACTTGAACCCAGCATAATATATGTCAACATATCCTTGCAGAATATATTAAATACTGGTGATTGGACCACCTGTAGGGGTCTGCAGCCTTAGAATTTTCCCAGATTGGGAAAGAGGTCATTTTGTTCCAACTCCTCTTATTCCAAAAGAGAAGTTAGAGGGTCCTGAGAGGTTGAAGTCATCTGTCAAACTCACTAACTTAAAAGTAGAGCTCCCTTTATACTTAAAAGCAAAAGTTTCATCATGAGATTTCTCTCAGCTCTGCCTGCTTTCTACTCTGAAACCTGGGAATCAAGTTTTTTTTACAGTAAAAAAGATTGAAAGTTATGAATTTAACTTTGCAAAGTGGCCCCAAGTACATTACACTTTTCCTGAACTTTCTACAGTAAATGAAACATCTCTGACGCAAATGCTCAAATCTTTGATGAGTGACAATCTTTGGTAAAGAGTTATTTATCATGCCATATAATACGGAACAATTGGAGCTATTGTTAAAGAGAACGTGACATAAATGCAACATATTTAAAATCCCACCTCCTTCTTTACTTTGGATAATGATTACGCTTTTCTTGAGGATACATCAATCCCATATTCTAGTCAATGAATCATTTATCATTATTACTAATGGTGGCTAATAAGCCTGGTTTTGTCTGATACTATCTTGGATCACAGATCAGGATATGAATTTGAAAGCACAGAAAAGAATCGTGTGTGTGTGTGTGTGTGTGTGTGTGTGTGTGTGTGTGTGTGTGTATGTGTATGTATGTTGAAGGAGAGAGGGAGGTAGATTAACTTCCTTAACAAGAAGTATCTAAGTTTTTTTTTCCTTCTTCCCACCTAATAGATGAAATGCCAAAGTGAAGCAGGGGATTTTAAAAATCTCTAAATGAACCTGTGTGTTGCCTCTGAATTATTCATAATGAATTCTAAGCTTTTAGAGTTTGGAACCTCAGTCAGAAGAAAATGAAAGGCATGTATCAAAATGGGCATTAACGTCTTTGTCTTTATACAGTCCATAAACTTCCCATATATTTGCCTCCATTACTAAGCTCTGTCTGTACCCTAAGCCTTCATCTTAGAGATAATTTTCCTTTGCATTTCCCTATGTAGGACAATCTGAAAACAACATCCGCAGACCCTCATTCAATCATCTTATTCTTGGCCATCTCGTCTGCTTTAATAATGGCTCTGATCTGCAGAAATTGCCACATTGGCCTAATGCTACACAGGGACCGGTGTGGGCTGTCAACCCAGTTATTTTAATGGATTAGTTGCATACATAAAAATTCTCCTTAAAACTTCCATTAACACAACCCTTACGAGCATGCTAACTGTGTGTTCTGTGCATTAATTTCTGACTCACCCTCTTTTCCTATTAGCATCAATTTGATTATCCTACTGCTCTTGGGCCAAAATTTTAGATACTGTATTAGACATCCTAGACTCAGGGTGAGGAAGTAACACTGATGAGAGAAGAGAAAAACAACCCTTCTGTTCTTATGTAACTACTAAAATTAAGTATATATTATTCATGTGCTTTTTGATTAAACACCTTAATTGCAGAATGTATTCAAAGCTAGGGCATTAGATGTTGACAGAAAAAAAACAACTCTAGAGAATGAAAAGTTATCACTAACTTTAAAGCCCTGAGACACAGAACTTTCCATTTGGCCTATCATCAACATATAGAGTACCACAGTGGAGGTGGTAGAATTAAGTGGGTATAGATTTTAGTTTAGTATTGTTGGTGAAAAATCTTGGACTGTATGTAATATTTCTTGTGTAAGTGACTATATAATATGGGTCCTCTTTAAGCTTGCCGTTAATCCACTTCACTGGGATGCTGCTATAAAGTGGTCCTTGACCTCTAAACAGATTTTGGTGTTCATGCTTCAAGAAGAGTCATTAGCATTCCGAACCCCCAGTATCACTGTTTCAGTGATTGAAAGTTAGTCATTGGGGAAGAATCATTCTAGTGGTGTGTGAGTTGCAGAAGTTTCTTGATGGACTAGAAGAAGAGGCTAATATTGGGTTTCTTGTCACTTCGCTGAGTCTTGTTACGTAAACTAGATTAAATAAATCTAACCTTTGCTTGTTTGTTTTTGTGTTACACAACCACTTTTCCCACAACTGACAATGGGAAATGGACTAGATAGAAAGCTATCAATTCTGACAAGACTGGCCGTCGACCATTGTAGCAGACACTCAATATCTGATGGTATTGAATACTAACTTAAATGGAAGCTGACTTCAGCTCAGAAGAAGGAAGAACTTCTTAACAATTAGAGCTGTCCAAAAGTGAAATGTCTTAATTCAATTTGGTTTAACAAGGCACTTGTAGAATGACTGAAAAAGCATTTACTATGCATCTACTATATACCAGGCACTGTGGATACAGATCATACAAGTGATAGAAATGTGAATAGGAGTCAGACAGGGTCTGCCCTCAAGAACCTTCCGTTCTAAAGATGGGGGGAAATATTCCATATGTGGGAGTACATTTGCGGCTCTGTGTTGGGAATAAAATGACAGAAAAAGAAAGCCAACCCAACCCACAATGAGCTTACATTCTATTTTTTTTTTGGGGGGGGAAGGGAAATGTCATGTATACACAGATAAGTAAATACTGATTAAATATATAATAATTTGTGAGGTATGGAAGAGAATACTAACAAATTCTGTCCATATGTGAGTATGTGTATGTGTAGTTTTTTTTTAAAGACCTTAGTTATAAGGTGGCACCTGAGCTAACACAGGAAGGGTAA